CCGAAGTTGGCCGCTTAACCGACTGAGCCACCCAGGCGCCCCAAATGTTTATTTATTTTTTGAGAGGGAGAGACAGAGTGTGAGCAGGGGAGGGGCAGAGAGAAAGGGAGACACAGAATTCCAAGCAGGCTTCAGGCTCTGGGCTCTGGGCTGTCAGCATAGAGCCAGACGCAGGGCTTGAACTCATGAACTGTGAGATCATGACCTGAGCCGAAGTTGGATGCTTAACCAACCAAGCCACCCAGGCGCCCCTTATTATTTTTAGAGAGAGAGCAAGTGAATGGAAGTGACGGACAGGGAGAGAGAGAATCTTAAGCAAAGTCCACACTCAGTGCAGAGCCCCATGCAGGGTTAGATCTCACAACTCTGGGGTCAGGACCTGGGCCAAAATCAAGAGTTGGAAGCTCAAGTGACTGAGCCACCCATGCACCCCTAAAAGACAAGACATTTGTTTTTTATTTATTTGAAAATATGTTTTTAATGTTTATTTATTTTTGAGAGAGAGAGAGAGAGAAAGAGAGCATGAGCGGGGGAGAGGCAGAGAAAGGAGACACAGAATCCGAAGCAGGCTCTCCAGGCTCTGAGCTGTCAGCACAGAGCACATCGTGGGGCTTGAACTCACAAACCATGATCATGACCTGAGCCAAAATCAAGAGTTGGGACGCTTAACCAGCTGAGCCACCCAGGCGCCCCTTAAATAAGAACTTTAAACTGTGGAGGTGCCTAGCCGGTTCAGTCGGTAGAATATGGGAGTTTTGAAGTTGGGGTCATGAGTTTGAGCCGCAAATGGGTGTAGAGATTACTTAAATAAACTTTTAAAAAGTAAATAAATATGGGCGCCTAAGTGGCTCAGTCAGTTAAGTGTCCGACTTTGTCTCAGGTCATGATCTTGCGGTTTGTGAGTTGGAGCCCCGCATTGGGCTCTGTGCTGACAGCTCGGAGCTTGGAGCCTGCTTCGGATTCTGTGTCTCCCTCTCTCAACCCCTCCACTGCTTGCACTCCGTCTCTCGCACAGTCTCAAAAATAAATTAACATTAAAAATTAAATTAAATTAAATAAATAAACTTACAAAGAACTTTAAACTGTGATGTGGTTTTTGACAAGGCAATACATGTAATGTGCCAGGTTCTCCATCAGCCAAAACTGGCTAGAAGCCAGAGGTGCCCTTGGTGTGGTCTGTACAGGTCAGTTTCCTGGGGCAGAGAGCAGTGTGGGAGAGGGAGAGCGGAGGGGCAAACAGAAGACTTCCAGCACACACACACACACAGACAAGTTTTCTGGCCAGTATATTTTTTGTCCTGTAAGCACACTCTGTGGAGCCTAATTCTAAGCAGCAGTTACCCAGGAGAGCACGGAATCATAACAAGGGCCCTTAGCAACACAGTGCTACTTTCATATGGGATTCTAATTTCATGGGGTTCTCATGGGGTTCTAGTGGGTCGTTTCTTTTTTTTTTTAATTTTTTTATGTTTACTTATTTTTGAGAGAGAGAGAGAGAGAGAGAGAGAGCGTGCACACGAGCAGGGGAGGGACAGAGAGAGAGGGAGACACAGAATCCAAAGCAGGCTCCAGGCTCTGAGCTGTCAGCACAGAGCCCAACACAGGACTCGAACCCACGAACTGTGAGATCATGACCTGAGCCTAAGTCGGGGCTGAACTGACTGAGCCACCCAGGTGCCCCATCTAATGGGTCATTTCCTGAGCCAGCTCAGCATCATCTCCCTGACTCCTTGGCTGGACACTCTGGCCTCAGTGACTCCTCCTTTTTTTCTTCCTCCAAGGCTGACCTCTAAACCAAGCTTAAGCTAAGTTGACACCTCCAGTCTGGGTTCAGCAAGCCTTGCAGGCTTGGGCACCTCTGTTGCTTTGGGGCAGTGGCTCTCTTGAGGGTGTATCAGCATCACCCGAGGCACTTGTTAAAAAGCTAGTGTGTTAGGACCACTCCCCACTGTTTCTGATTCAGTAGGTCTGCGCTGAGGCCCAACAAGGGGCATTTCTAACTTGCTTCTATGTTAATGCTGGTGGAAGGGCCACTCACTGAGAGCCACTATCTTAAGGGGATTCTGCACATCTCAGCTCAGTTCTAGATCTTGCAGCCTGTCAGAGAGCTATCTACTTCCCCTATGTCCAAGTTCTCGTGAATTCCTTGCAGCAGGCCCCTAAATGCACCCCTACAGCTATTTCCCACCTGTGCCCAGAAGCCCCACCTTCCCTTTACCCCTACCTACTATGAGCTAGTCTTCTCTGCAGTTGAGAGGGCAGCGCCCTGAGTTGGGGTGGGAGATGTCTTCTTGCATGTCTGTTCTTCACAGGCTTTCCCCACAGCTGTGTGCTGGCTGGGATTTGTTCTCTACCCTTTTGCCCTTCAAAAGAGTCTTTCTCTTCACTTTTGTCCCACGTCAGAGCAGGGACACTTTATCCCCAGACATTTCTCTGAGCATCTAAGCTCTATCCCACTGTGGTAGTCTGCTAAACCATCCTTGATGGAAAGAACAGTCTAGAAGGCAGTCACACCCTAAATACAGACCAGAGTCTTCCCAATGGCCTATAAAGCCCTACACAATCTGGCCGTCTCCCCTCACACACCTGGCTCCAGCTACACTGGCCATCCTGCTGCTTCACGAATACTCCAGATAGCCAGACATATTCTCACCTCAGGACCTTTGCACTTGCTGTGCCCTCTGCCTGAAATGCTCCTCTCCCATATAGCCACAGGGCTTATTTCCATAGCTCCTTGAAATCTTTGCTCAAATACCATTTTCTCAGAGAAGCCTTCCTGATCACCCTATTTAATACTACAGTCCACCACAGCACTTCCTGTCCCCCTTCCCTACTTTGTTTTTCTGCGTAGGTTCCTGCCACCTTTAATGATTATCATTTCTAAAATTTTTTATTTTTAGGTAATCTCTATACCCAACATGGGGCTCAAACTCACAAGCCGGAGATCAAGAGTCACATTCTCCACTGACTGAGCCAGCCAGATGCCTCTAATATATTTAATTATTTATTTTTAAATTTTTTTAAGCTTATTTATTTTTGAGAGACTGAGATAGAGCACGAGCAGGGGAGGGGCAGAGACAGAGAGGGAGACACAGAACCAAAGCAGGCTCCAGGCTCTGAACTGTCAGCACAGAGCCTGATGCGGGGCTCAAATTCACTAACCACGAGACCATGACCTGAGCCGAAGTCGGATGCTTAACCTACTGAGTCACTCAGGTCCCCTAATATATTTATTTTTATTGTCTGTCTGCCGCAATTACACTGTCCATGAGGACAAGAACTGACATTTGTTTGGTTCACTGAGCTAGCATATAGTAAGTACTTGATAAATATTTGTTGAATAAATGTATGAATAAGGAAATGAATTCCCCCCACTAGGCGCTGAGACCTGAGTGCAGGGTTGCAGCTTTCTCTGAAGGGTTAGAGGCAGGTGCAATAAAGGGAAGTCAAAAAGTCAGAGTTCACCCCAGCATCTCCCCTGACCTGCATGGGTCAGGGAGAGGGCAGTGAGAAGTAAATACTCCCGGCTGCAGAAAGGGAAATAAGGTGGAAGGAAGAGGAGAAGGAAAGGTGTCTCCATCAATGCTGGGGCAGGGTGGGTAGAGCTCTGGGTGGGGAGTTTGAACAAAATGTCTCAGTGAGGGGAATGCACTATCCTCCCCTCCCCTAGAAGCAACTACCCATACAGCAAAAAAAGGAAAGCATATATATGTAGTGAAGACATTTATTAGAGGTTACTTATCCACTCTCTTGAACCCACGGTGACTGGCATCCCCCCACACGCACACACACATCCCTAATGTTGGCTTCACCTCCTGGCTCTTGTGTCTACAAATGCTGTCTCTCTCAGTAACACTTTCAGTTCCTCCAAAGAATCCACTTAAATTCTCAAATTCCTGAGCTCTGTAGATTTCACTAAATATTTCAAAGGAGATAAGATGAGTGGGTTACAGTGCACATCCTAAAGTGAACAAATAAAACTCATTTGGGGGCACCTGGGTGGCTCAGTCAGTTAAGCGTCCAACTTCGGCTCAGGTCATGATCTTGTGGTCTGTGGGTTCAAGCCCCGCGTGGGGCTCTGTGCTGACAGCTTGGAGCCTGGAGTCTGTTTCAGATTCTGTGTCTCCCTCTCTCTCTGACATTCCCCCACTCAAGCTTTGTCTGTCTGTCTGTCTGTCTCTGTCTTTCAAAAATAAATGATAAAGATTTAAAAAAAAAAACTCTTTTGTTAGACATTTCCACATTTCCAAGTGCCTCCGTGGAACTGCCAGACCAGAGAGTGAAGCTTCTCTCCCTTTCTGATCCCTCACATCTTGCATTCCTCCCAGATGTGCCAGTGGACTTCAGATTTTTCTCCCATTCATGGCCTAGAAAAATTCAGTCAGCCCTTCCTCAGCTGTCTATCCAAACCTGCATACCCAGACTCATGAAACCTGAGAAAATGCAAGCCTTGAGGGTTACCTGACCCTCTGGACCTGTTCAAAGACCATTTGTTCCTGAGAATAAATACTCCTCCGTCCCTCCGTACCGCCATACTTCCAGTGGTTTCTTTCCTTTCTTATTCTTCTTTTTTAAGATTTATTTTTGAGAGAGAGAGAGAGAGTATGAGCGTTGGTGGTCAGAGAGAGAGAGAGAGAGAGAGAGAGAGAGAGAGAGAGAATCTGAAGCAGGCTCCAGGCTCCAAGCTATCAGCACAGAACCCGATGCAGGGCTGTACTCACGAACCTGGGAGACCATGACCGGAGCCAAAGTCCGAGAGTTAACAGACTGAGCCACCCAGGCGCCCCCAAGGCTTCTTTCTTTCATGCACACACTGGGCTCTCCTTAAGAGGAATTTGGGAGAATGCTATTTTCTCTTCTCCATCCTGCAGCACCCCCCCCCCCTTCCTTCTGGGGTGCTCTTGTCAGCAAAAGCTGATGGGGAAGTGAAGCCTGGGACTAGAGGAAAAGCAAATAAGGGGAAAGGGGAAGTCTGGGAGGGAGGCCTCAGAAGAGGCTGATGGGAGAGGAGACAGAGAGGGCACCAGCTTAGTCTGTACCCACCAGTCCACCGGCCTCTCCAGCAGCTGCTGAGCTATGAGCCACACCAGAGATTTACAAGGTAGGGAAGGTAGAATTGGCAGAGCCTAAAATGAGAGTAAAGAGATGGACAGACCTGGGCGGGGGCTAGGGGGTGGTGAGCAGGCCTAGGAAGGCAGAAATGTGATGGCCCTGGGCGGGTGTGGGGGTAAGAAGAGGAATGAGAGGTAAGGAAGCATTAACCTTTGTGCCCCCTCAGGAGGAAAAGCCTTCGGGCTGCTGAAGGCCCAGCAGGAAGACAGACTGGATGAAATCAACAAGGTAAAAGGAAGATCTAAGGGGGCAGGGCCTGTGGGAAGGGAACCCTGGACCAGGGGACCTATCCTGCCTCTTGTTTCCCACCCCCCCCCCCAACAGCAATTCCTGGATGATCCCAAATATAGCAGTGATGAGGATCTGCTGTCCAAACTGGAAGCCTTCAAGAGTGAGGGGAAAACTGTCGGGGGGAGGGAGGGGGGGGAGTGAGGAGGGCAGGATTTCCCCAAGGACAGAGAAGGGACAGCAGAGACACAAAATCTACATTTGTGGTGGGAAGAAGGGAGGCTGCCCCTATTGCCCCCCTAGTTGCCGTCCCTTTCCTTGGGCTGCCCTGCCCAGCACCCTCTCTGTTTCCCTACACTTTAACAGGGCCCCTCTACCCGACCCGCACTTCCTCAGGCTGCCCTACCTCCTCCTTTCACATCTTCCCCACCTAGGGCTTGGTTAGCAACCCCTTTCTCAATCCCCTGCCGTGCCCCCTCCCGAGGACCCTCCAGCCAGCGCTGACCCTATCTGCTTTCTCCCCTCACCCAGAGAAATACATGGAGTTTGACCTGAATGGAAACGGAGATATCGGTGAGAAAAGAGTGATCTGGGGAAGTGTGCAGACCCAGGAAGAGGGAGGTGTCTCCTGCAGTTCTTAGTGGTTTGGGAGAGGGCCCAGCTACCAGAGTAGGAGGGAGGAGAATGGGAATGTGAAGGTGAGGACAGAGAGAGACAGAGGCTCCTCTCCTCTCACCCCCATCCTCTGCCTCTAGATATCATGTCCCTGAAGCGAATGCTGGAAAAACTCGGGGTCCCCAAGACCCACCTGGAGCTGAAGAAACTAATCAGGGAGGTGTCCAGCGGCTCTGGGGAGACTTTCAGCTACTCTGACTTTCTCAAGATGATGTTGGGAAAGAGATCTGCCATCCTAAAAATGTGAGGGTCCTGTTCCAACCTCTCCTATACTTACCTGTTTTCCCCTCACCCCTATCCCCCTCCCCAGGCTCACCTACACATTACTCAGCATCCATTTCTTCCCTTCTTTGAGGGATCCTTCCAAGTTCCTATCCCTACCCCTTGTTCTAGTCCCCACAGCCCCAAGCTCTCCCATCTCCACTTTCCTTCCTCTTCCTCCCACCATAACAACCCCCATCCTCTTCCAGACTTTCTTAAAAGGTTTTTTTTTAATGTTTTTTATTTTTTATATTTGAGAAAGAGAGAGAGACAGATAGACAGAGCTCAAGCAGGGGAGGGGCAGAGAGATGGAGACAGAATCTGAAACAGGCTCCAGGCTCTGAGCTGTCAGCACAGAGCCCTATGTGGGGCTCGAACTCATGAGCTGTGAGATCATGACCTGAGCCAAAGTTGGCTGCCCAACGGACTGAGACACCCAGGTGCCCCTTCCAGACTTTCACAGTAGCCTAAAACGTATTCTCTTGAGAAGGCTATCTCCTGATCCCTCTGTCTTTTCCCATCTCAACCAGGATCCTGATGTACGAGGAGAAAGCAAGAGAACAGGAGAAGCCAGCAGGTCCCCCAGCCAAGAGAAATATCTCTGAATTGCCCTGATTTATGGTAGGGGAGATGTGGTGGGATTGATGGGGTTCCTAATCACCCCCAGCATGGAAAATGAACACAGAATTGTGAGCCACAGTTACACTAAATAAAATAAACTATCCTCCTTCTCCAGATCAAGTCAGCTCGGTCTCCGTTTGGGGGGAATTTTATCCTGGGTTTAGGGAGAAGTGAGGCCCTTTGAGGGAAGGGCAGCGAGGATTTGCCCAAATGAACAATCCATCCATGATTTTGTTTTAAATGTTTATTTATTTTTGAGGGGGGGAGGGGCAGAGAGAGATAGGAGGACAGAGAATCTGAAGCTGTCAGTGCAGAGCCTCACACAGGGCTCAAACTCACAAACAATGAGATGATGACCTGAGCCCAAGTCAGAGGCTTAACTGACCCAGCCACCTAGGGGCCCCTCCTTCCACAATTTTATAAAGTGTCAACCACAGCAGATGGTTTTGTACTCCAAGGGAGATTCCAGATATATGATAGCCCTGATCTCAAGGAATTTAGATGGAACAAAAAGACATGTGCAAACAAACAAACAAAAAATCACTCAGGTCCACAAGGAAGAGCAAGGATTAACTTTTTTTTTTTTTTTAAGATTTTATTTTTTTTAAGTAACTTCTACACCCAACATAGGGCTCCAACTCACAACCCCGAGATCAAGAGTCACATTCTCTATTGACTGAGCCAGCAGTCATCTCGAGCAATGATTACCTTGAACTGATATTCTCCATTACCAGTCTTTGTAAATTTTTAAAAGATGTTTATTTATTTTTGAGAGAAGGAGACAGAGAGAGAGCATGAGTGGGGGGGGTGGTGTTGCAGAGAGAGAGGGAGACACAGAATGTGAAGCAGGCTCCAGGCTGTGACCTGTCAGCACAGAGCCCTACATGGGGCTCAAACCCACAAACTGTGAGATCATGACCTGAGCCAAAGTCAGAGGTTTAACCAACTGATAATTTAAATGTTAAATTAGTCACTGAGGTCCTTTTGGGGAACAACCTGCAGAAACTAAGTTTAATAAAGGGAAAGGGGGCTTCTATTAAGAGGTTATTGAGAACAGATACAGGGGATACTGAATCCCTGGGTAGCAGAAAGGATTAAAAAGCCAGTCCCAGGAAAGGCAGGAACCTCAGAGTTCCTGAGCCTTCAGTGAGGCTATCACTGGACCTTTCCTCCAACTGATAGGGAAAAATCTGTTATATGATGGCTGACAGGACTGATCAGGGAATTTCAGTCCCTGACTGAAGACTTCCCTTCCGGGTTCTTCTTCCCACCCTGCTTGCCTCAGGCGCCAAATTACTAATAATGAGGAACGCGGAAGTAACAGACTATAAATTGTCCCCTCTGTTAATGTTCTGTGCTCAGACCTCTGGAGAATGATCTCCTCTGAGCCCACCGTAGTAAATAAGCCTCCTTCCTTCCAAGATCTCCGAGTGCCGCTTGGTTCTTCTGCCGGGTGATCCAGACCAGTTTGTGTAACACAACGTGTCCAGATGAGTTAACTTAGCAACTCCCAGTTACTGGCTACTACTTCTGATTTCCTGACTTTCCGGGAAGAGGTAATCCAATTAGCCCAGCTCGTTTCAGGTACTGAGGACAGACTGTTGGCTCTTCCCAATGGTGAAGCCAGGTTGGCCTCCTAAAGAGCGCTACAGTAACAACTGTATGGGACTTCAGATGAGGAAGAGGTCATTTCAAGTTGAATAACATATCCGAATATAATGAAATCAATAGCTAACTTTATTGAGCACCTACTATATGTGAGATACCAGCCTAAATGCTTTCCATATATTAATTCTCTTAATCTTTGCAACAACCCTGGTGATACTAGGGAGGATACAAAGGATCTAGAGCTTAAATAATTCGTTCACCCAGGATAAATAAATTGGGTTATATTCATACCTCAGACTATTATTATGCAGCAACGAGAATGAACAAAGTACAACTACATCAACAATGTGGAAGAATTTCATTAACATAATGTTAAGCAAAAGAAGACAGATGCAAAAGAACCCTTACTGTACAGTTCTATGTGGATACAGTACAAAATCGGGTAAAACTAATACATGTAGCAGGATGGTCAGGGAAGATGAAAATTTTGAATGGGTGATCAGGGTAGGCCTCACTGAGAAGATGACTAACACTGAACAAGACCTCATGGAGGTAAAGGAGTGAGGCATGTGGGTTTCTGGGGGAAGAACCAACTTGGCAGAGGAAAGAGAAGCAAAAGGGTCCCAAGGTGAGACATGTCTGGTAGAGGTAGGGAGAGTAATAAAATCAGGGGGCAAGTCATTTAGGGTCTTGTGGGCTACTCCAAGGACTTTGAGAGAAACAGAGGCATTATAGGACTTTGAGCAAGGGAGTCCTTTGAGGCTTCCTTTGAGGAAAGGTCCACCCTGAGTGCAGTGTAGATGACAGACTGTAGGGACAGGGGTAGGGACAAGTGAGGAGGCTGTTGCTATAACCCAGGTGAAAATTGAGAGTGGCTCAGATCAAGGTAGAAGCACTGTATGTGAAAAAGCTGGATTCCAGGTATTTTTTCAAGACAGGAGTTCCTGTCTAATTGAAAGTGGGGAGTGAAATAAAGAAGGGAGTCAATGAGGATTCCAGGGTTTTTGGCTTAACTGTAATTTTTAATTTCCATCAGCTGAGATGTGGAGAGGACAGGTTTTGAGGTTCCAGAGATCAAATGTTCAGTGTTGGACCTACTGACTTTGAAATGTTCTCTTAGAGGGGCACCTGGGTGGCTCAGTCCAACTTCAGCTCAGGTCATGATCTCGTGGTTTGTAAGTTCGGGCTCTGTGCTGACAGCTCAGAGCCTGAAGCCTTCTTTGGATTCTCTTTCTGCCCCTTCCCCAGGCACGTGCACTCTCTCTCTTTCTCAAAACTAAAAAATAAAACACTAAAAAAAAAAAAAGAAAAAGAAAGAAATGATTAGATACCCAATAGGAGATGTCAAGTACATATATGTGTCTTCAAGTCTGGAGTTTGGGAGAGAAGTCTGCGATGAAGATATGCATTTGGTTGGGGCGCCTGGGTGGCGCAGTCGGTTAAGCGTCCGACTTCAGCCAGGTCACAATCTCGCGGTCCGTGAGTTCGAGCCCCGCGTCGGGCTCTGGGCTGATGGCTCGGAGCCTGGAGCCTGTTTCCGATTCTGTGTCTCCCTCTCTCTCTGCCCCTCGCCCGTTCATGCTCTGTCTCTCTCTGTCCCCAAAATAAATAAACGTTGAAAAAAAAATTTTTTTTAAAAAAAATAAAAAAAAGATATGCATTTGGGAGTCATCAGCACAAAAATGCTATTTCAAGTCAGGAGATTGATGTTCATGACACACGCAGGTTGGGTAAAGGGCTGGGGTGAAGGCTTGACTGGAGTCAGTTTAAGAATGCATGACAGGAGGGGGCCTGGGTGGCTCAGTCTGTTAAGCATATGACTTCTGTTCAGGTCATAATCTCACATTTCGTGAGCATGAGCCCCACTTTGGGTGAACATGAACCCCACTTAGGGTAAGCCCCCCCTTCTCTCTCTGCCCCTCCTGGGATACTCTCTCTCTCTCTCTCTCTGCCCCTTGCTCACTTGCACGCTCTCCCCATCTCTTGGGGCCTGAATTAGTCGTTGTTACCCACTTCAGCTCAGGTCATGATCTCAAGCACAGGAGTTCAAGGCCAGGCTCTTGTGCTGACCTGCTTCAGAGCCTGAGCCTGTTTCGATCTCTACTCTCTCTCTCTGACCCTCTCCCATTCATGCTCTGTCTCTCTCTGTCTCAAAAATAAGTAAACATTAAAAAAATTTTAAAAAAAAGAAAAGAAAAGAAAAAAAGAATGAATGGCAGGAAGGAAATCTGACTGTAAGTATGGATAACTCTTCCAAAAAATTTTGCTGTGGTTGGAGACCTGGAAGAGGGGATAAGAGAATCATTTTGAATGTTTAAGAACTGAACTCATCTCAACTATTGTAATGAAGCTCAGGATAAAATTCTTACCTGGTTCTTGCTAATTTTTCTGCTCTAATTTTCCATACTAGAGAGGCAGTCTCTTAATTTAGTCACATCAGCTGAGGCACAGATCCCTAAAACCATGCCTCTGCTCATCAGTTCACTGGGCCTGAGCTGTGCACCCTTTCCTCAAACTTGGCTAAATCCTAACTAGTTCTTCACATTTTTTAGTAAGAGTCAAGTTTTTCTAGAAGCATTTCTGAACCTCCCCAGGCAGGATCTGATTGTATTCCTCTACTTCCAGAATGTATTGTGGATGTCTCCGGCGGCTTCATAACAGTTGTCGAAGGATTTACTGAACGGTTAGTAGGTCTGATTGGACCACAGTAATAGAAGACAAAGGAGGAAACTAGTACCGCATTTCGTAGAATAAAACCCATTGTGAAGAGAATACAAACTGCCAATAGTATCAGATATATAAATACATTCATGAAAATTGTTATAAAATTAAATGTCTTAGTCATTGGTTGCTGATATGCTAATGAAGAGGTTATTCCTACCCTATCTTTGTTCAAATGATTTGCATGTATTATGCAAATAAACAGAACTATCGAAAGAATGCCTACAGTGCACGGTGCCGACGATACACTCCCCTGGACCTCAGGATTGGCCTGTCTATCCACTTCATTTGCATGACGTGATTTAATAACTAGAAGGCCCCACCCCTCTGGAGCTTTCGCCCCTTACAAATGGACGCGTGTGTCGGGGACTCTTCCCTATTATCTAGGCTCCGCCCTCCGGCAGCTAATCCTTTCTGTCCCCTGCGTTCGCTCGGTCTCCTCCACTGAAAGCACTATCAGCCTTGCATCGTTTCCTTCATTTTCGCATCCCTACGTCTCACCGCTCCCATCTTTCCACGAACGCACGACGCACGCTCCGCCTCTCCTCCCTTCCCCCCCCCCCCCCGCCCCTACTCGTCGTGCAAATTCTGCGCCCCAACCGCCCGGCCGACAGACGCTGCATTCCCGCCCCCTCTACGCGTCTTAACGGCCGACGCCGGGGGCGCGTCTCTTTAGCCAACCGGCGTCCTAGCGCCTGTAAGTCCCTCCTCTTTATGCAAATAACCTGTGCCTGCTCCGCACGCCCTGCTTTTTTTTTTTTTTTAAATAGGGACAGCCCTCGAAG